AGTATGATTCTCAAACGGCAACCCCAATACCTGGGCTCAGGGTCCTCTGGCCACAGTTTTGCAGTACAAGTTGGCCATCAACGATGGGTCTTAAAGCAGTACTACGACGACCCGGTCGTGCAAGACATAATGCTAAGAGAGATCGTTCAGCTCTCCTCCGTGCAGAACTTCCCTTGCGTCCAGCGTCTGGTTGGCGTAGTTCCCGAGTACCTCACCATTGTGACGCAGTACGCCGGCGAACCCCTCCACACCTGCATCACCAAAAAACTCTACTCACCAAACGAGTTCATCTCGATCATGCAGCAGGTGCTCAACGCCGTCAAATATCTGCACAGTAAACACATCCTCCACCTGAATCTCAAGCCTGCCAAAATATGTATACTCCGAGACAAAGAAGGCGACCTACGGGCCACCCTGATCGACTTCGGGTCTTCACACCCAGCTGGTGATTGCATACAATATTGGGACAACTCACCAACAACATACCCGTCTACAGACCCACAGCTGTTCAACGGAGAGCCTTGCCACCCTACCAACGATATCTATAGCTTTGGCTGGATGTTGGCCACGCTGTTGCCACACGTGCTAGAAAACAAAATCCCCGAAAACCTTGACTTATGGGCGAAAGGTGCCCAACATAAGGACTCAAAAAAGAGGCCAACCCTACTAGAATTGTCGAACCTCCTTCAGTGTGTATCGTTCAGACACTGAAGAGAGAGGCTCAGGCTGCCCAAGACTCAGCTGTCAACAAGATGGCCTCTCAATTATGTTTGAGACTAAAACATGTAAGGATTTTTTATTTTTTGTTTTCATTATTTTTTTTTACGGAAGTAGCTCACCAAGGCACAAAAAAAAATAATAACAATAAGATAAAAAAATTAATAGTGAGAAACAATACATGTACAGCATGTTATGTTGTTAGAGTAAGAGAAACAATTGAAACCCTGCACTTATGTATAAATGAGACAAAAAGTCAGATAAAAAACCTGGGACTTGGTCACATCTGGCAGCAGGGTCTACCATTGGACAACACTTTATGCTTCCAAGATCTTCCCAGTACCTCCCTGTCTACTACCTGATGTATATTGTTATTCATTAAAAATAAACTTTATGCTATAACTTGTGTGTATTTTGCCTTAGTCTATCTATCTATATAAAACAAAGAAGTCTGTCTGTTTGTTTGTGTGTGTGTTTGTGTGTGTGTTTGTGTGTGTGTGTGTGTGTGTCCGCAAGAGAATCTCGGAAACTACTTTAGCGATTTTTAGTGATGATGGGTGGTGTTATATGTAGTGATGATGGATGGTGTTATATGTAGTGATGATGGATGATGTTATATGTAGTGATGATGGATGGTGTTATATGTAGTGATGATGGATGGTGTTATATGTAGTGATGATGGATGGTGTTATATGTAGTGATGATGGATGGTGTTATATGTAGTGATGATGGGTGGTGTTATATGTAGTGATGGATGATGTTATATGTAGTGATGATGGATGGTGTTATATGTTGATGATGGATGGTGTTATATGTAGTGATGATGGATGGTGTTATATGTAGTGATGATGGATGGTGTTATATGTAGTGATGATGGATGATGTTATAATATAGTGATGATGGATGGTGTTATATGTAGTGATGGATGGTGTTATATGTAGTGATAAGTGGATGGTGTTATATATAGTGATGATGGATGGTGTTATATGTAGTGATGATGGATGGTGTTATATGTAGTGATGGGTGGTGTTATACATGTAGTGATGATGGATGATGTTATATGTAGTGATGAAGGGTGGTGTTATATGTAGTGATGTTGGATGGTGTTATATGTAGTGATGATAGGATGGTTCTATATGTAGTGATGGATGGTGTTATATGTAGTGATGATGGATGATGTTATATGTAATGATGATAGGATGGTTTTATATGTAGTGATGATGGATGGTGTTATATGTAGTGATGATACATGATGGTATATGTAGTGATGATGGTTGGTGTTATATGTAGTGATGTTGGATGGTGTTATATGTAGTGATGATGGATAGAGTTATATGTATTGATGATGGATGATGTTATATGTAGTGATGATGGGTGGTGTTATATGTAGTGATGATGGATGATGTTATATGTAGTGATGATGGATGGTGTTATATGTAGTGATGATGGATGGTGTTATATGCTTAGTGATGATGGATGGTGTTATATGTAGTGATGATGGATGGTGTTATATGTAGTGATGATGGGTGGTGTTATATGTAGTGATGATGGATGATGTTATATGTAGTGATGATGGATGGTGTTATATCGAAGTGATGATGGATGGTGTAATAATGTAGTGATGATGGATGATGTTATATGCTAGTGATGATGGGTGGTGTTATATGTAGTGATGATGGGTGGTGTTATATGTAGTGATGATGGATGGCGTTGTTATGTAGTGATGATGGATGGTGTTATATGTGGTATTGATGGGTGGTGTTATATGTAGTGATGGATGATATTATATGTAGTGATGATGGATGGTGTTATATGTAGTGATGATGGATGGTGTTATATGTAGTGATGATGGATGGTGTTATATGTAGTGATGATGGGTGGTGTTATATGTAGTGATGATGGGTGGTGTTATATGTCGTGATGATTAGACAATAAAATAATAACAGTTTAATGCAAAAAAAATATACTTTGCTGTACCGCTGTAGTGAAAAACATGGTGGAACTTACATACACCGTTAATGAACTATTGATGGAAGAAGAAATTTTGGGGACTGGACAGTGAGACAATGTGGAGCCTCCCTGAGGGTGGCGTCCTACCGTGGCCTAGCGGATGAGCCACCCGGAGATAATAGACCAATTCTTATTCTCTCCCCCTCTCTCTCTTCTTCCCTTTCTCCCTTCCCTACCCTCCTCTTACCTCTCTTTCCCCCTTTATCCCCCCTCTACCCCTAAGCACCTCGTTAATAATTACTAACCCTACCTAATGGGTTACTCTTAGCCGAGAGATCCAGTGAGTAAAAACCAGAGGAGGAGGAGGATGTTGACAGCTTCTCTACTAGCGGTGAATAGGAGGTGTGGGAGAGGCGAGGGGGGAGGTGGGGATGAGGTGTGGAAGAGGTGAGGGGGGAGGTGGGGATGAGGTGGGGAAGAGGCGAGGAGAAGTTGAAGAAGAGGAGGAGGTGAAGAGAAGGTGGTGAGGAAGAGGGAATGATAGATTTGGAAGAGTAAAGAGAAGAAGAAAAGAAGATGGAGAGGAAGATGAAGAGAGAGAGAGAGAGAGAGAGAGAGATAAATATTTTCTCTAAGGGATGAGAGAAAGAATGAGAAAGCGGGAGAAAGAGAGATAAGCTACTAATTGGTGTCTTCAAGAGAAAGTTGTTTGGGACGAAGGCTATATAAGGCTTCTTAATTAGAGGTAAGAACAGGTAAGGACAGGTAACACTCTAATCTTACTTGAAAATATTGAACACCGTCCAACATTGCTCAGGACACAAGGATCTTATTAGTTTCCCGTAATCTAACTTAACTTTAACCTAACCTAACTTAACCTAACCTAACCTAACCTAACCTAACCTAACCTAATCTATCTATTTTAGTCAAATATGCAATTAATTTAATCTAAACCTAACCTAAAGCAAAGCTATACTTACCACTGGCTATTTAGGATTACTAGAATGAAAATAAACACCCACTCACCTTCAAACCACCCACTTTCTCACCTAATCCACCCAGTCACCCACCCACAAACACCGACCTACTCTAAAACTCACGCCCACCCATCCTCAAACCACCCAACCACCCACCCACCCACAACCACTAACTTCCTCCCAATCTGGGGTATTTCGGGTAACTATCTCCGGGGAGGGGACGCGGTCACTCACACAGACACCCCAGAGAGATGGGGAGAGAGGAATAGAGAGAGGGAGAGAAAACGGGGAGAGAAAATAGGAGAAACAGAAGGGATATGGGGGTGAAAAATGGGGAGGGGAGCGTCTGTCTGTCTGTCTGTCTGTCTGTCTGTCTGTCTGTCTGTCTCTATACATCTGACTGTACCACTCTTTCTGTCTCCCCCTCCCCCCTCCCCCCTCCCCCCCCACACACAAACATCTCGAGGGGTTAAGACCATTTATCCTTTCGTCAGAGAAATTCAAAGTTTGGACCAGAATCACCTTGAATGAATGCCCTCAGCGTGTCCTTCTACCCCCCTCCTGTCTCCTACACCTAAAAGGACTCCTATTAAAGGACTCCTATTAAAGAGCTCCTATTAGCTTTGTTGGGAGGGAATTGAGGATCCGGCCATGGTGGAGTGATTGAGTTAGCTGATTGACTTAGCTGGGAGTAACCTAACCTAGCCTAACCAAACCAAACCTAACCTAACCAAACATAACCAAACCTAACCAAACCTAAACATATTTCTCAGGCTAAATATTTGAATCTCGAAAACATGGAAGAAAAGATAAAGAAACTCTCTCTCTCTCTCTCTCTCTCTCTCTCTCTCTCTCTGAGTGGTGGAAATGGTGTGAGACATAAACAGATGGACAGTATCAGTGGTGCGATACACTGACCATATTGTACACTGGACAATGGAACAGTTTTGTGTGTGTGTGTGTGTGTGTGTGTTATTTCTCTCACTGACACAAAGGTTTATAAAATACGGTATAAACAACAAAGCAATGGTTCATTTTACTGTATAATAAAAAAATATACATAATATATAGATAAAACATACATATACACCATACATGTTTATAAAAAAATAATATATACACAGATTATAACCAGTTTCAACTCAGCTGTATTTATATATTAATCCCTCTTCGTATTGTAGTTGATATGTTGATATATGCAAGAACCCGAGAAAATAAAACTTACTTTAATCTTATTTCTCAAGGCTATGATAACTAACTCATCTCAACCCTCGAAAATTATAAAAAAAAAATAACAAAGATAACAAACTGATCCTAGGATTCTATTTAATGAAACCCGGAAGAAAAAAAATTCACAAAAAAAACCTCGACTTTTTTCCTCGTTGGGATAAGGGAAGAAAGTCCTCCCACGTTAATATTAGAGAAGTGAAGCGAGGAAACTAGTAAGTCCTTGTGTGGGTTTTTTTTTTTTGTATAACGAGTAAAGGAAATTGAGATATCCTGTAGCGTTGCGGGACTCCTCCTAGCGGCCGGGGTGAGAATTACAAGCCACAACAAACACTGAAATGTATATGAAACTTGTCTTCTTTATTTATTCACTTATTTATTACGAAATATATATAAGGGTAAGTGTTTATGTGAGGTTTCGTATATTAGGTAACTGATAGCAACACACTACCTCTTTTTGCGGTTATAAAGCAACACATAGCAACACATGACCTCCTGTTGCAGTTACATAACAACACATTACCACCCGTTGCAAATATCCACTGCAATATAGGTCAGGTAAGTTTTTCCTGCCACATCTTTTCATCAAAGTTTTTCAATAACGTCTTGCAGCGCCACGAAGAATCTTAGCGGCCGGGGTATGAATTACAGTACACGTCACCATAGAAACTGCATTATCTTCACATCCTTTCTCATTATATTATATACAGATGATACCAAGTTACTTACACATCCTAACATATATTGGGTAGCTGATGGCAGGAAAATTAACTTTGTTGACAGGACTATGACCTTAGTTAGCAGAAAAATTACTTTATTTGGCAGGAAAATAAGCTTAGT